GTTTGTTAATTTTGTTTTTTAGATTCCACATATAAGTGAAATCATATGGTATTTGTGTTTCTTTGTCTGACTTATTTCACTCAGCATGATACCCTCTAGGTCCATCCATGTTGACACAAATGGAAGATTTTACTATTACATTGCATAAATGTACCACAACTTCCTTACCCACTCATCTATGGACGGATGCTTGGGCTGCTTCCACATCTTGGCTATTGTAAATAACGCTGCAATGAACATAGGGGTGCATATGTTTTTCCGAATTAGTGTTTTGGATTTCTTCAGATAAATACCCAGAACTGGAATTTGTGGGTCATACAATGGCTCAACTTTTAATTTTTTGAGGAATCTCCATACTGTTGTTTTTTTAACAGTGGCCACACTAATTGGCAATCCCACTTCCCTTTTCTCCACGCCCTCGCCAGCACTTGTTTGCTGTTTATAGATGACAGCCATTCTGGCCGGTGTGAGGTGATATCTCACTGGGGTTTTAACTTGCGTCTCTCTGGAGCTTAATGATGTTGAGCATCTTTTCATGTGTTTCTTGTCCATCTGTATGTCCTCTTTGGAGAAGTGTGTGTTCAGGTCCTCTGCCCATTTTTTAATTGGATTGTTTGTCCTTTTGGTGTTAAGTTGTATGAGTTTCTTACGTATTTTGGATATGAACTCCTTATTTGTCGTTGGCAAATACCTTCTCCTATTCAGTAGGTTGTCTTTTTGTTTTGCTGATGGTTTCCTTTGCTGTTTAAAATATGTTTGGCTTCATTTGTTTAGTTTTTCTTTTATTTCCCTTGCCCAAGGATACATACCAAAAAACAGTACTGAGAGCCAGGTCAGGGAGTTAACGGCCTATGCTTTTTTCTAGGAGTTATATGGTCTGGGATCTTACATTTAAGTCTGTAATCCACTTTGAGTGCATTCTTGTGTGTGGTGTAAGAAAATGATCCAGTTTTATTCTTTTGCATGTGTCTGTCCAGTTTTCCAAACACCATTTATTGATGAGACTGCCTTTACCCCATCGTATGCTCTTGCCTCCTTTATCATGGATTAACTGACCATATTGCTGTGGGTTTATTTCTGGGGTCTTTGTTCTGTTCCACTGATCTATGTGTCTGTTCTTATGCCAGTATTGTGACTACTGTATCCTTGTAGTATAGTTTGATAGCACGTAGTGTGAGACGTCCAGCTTTGTTCTTTTCCCCCCGTCAAGATTGCTGTGGCTATTCAGGGCCTTTTTTGGTTCCATGTAAATATTGGGATTATTAGTTCTAGTTCTGTGAAATACACCATTGGTATTTTGATAGGGATTACAGTGACCCGTCGATTGCTTTGAGCAGTGTGAACATTTTAACAGTGTTGATTCTTCCTGTCCGTAATCATGGTATGTGTTTCCACTTACTTGTATTGTCTTCAGTTTCTTTCTTCCATGTCTTATAGTTTTCTGTGTACAGTTCTTTTGATGCAATTGTAAATGGGCTTGTTTTCTTTTTTTTACTTAAAAGTTTTTAGTTTATTAATCTTCTCATGAAAATCTGTAATCGCCACAGATGAAGTCCCTGAAGAACCTTTACTCCTGTCGTCCAATCTCCAGCTCACATTTTGCAGCACCAGCACCAGACTTTGCAGTCCTCTGGCTTTCTTCATTCTGTTCTTGGGTTCCTCTCACTGTTTACTTAAAGTCTTCGTTTCATACAGGCCATGACTTACACATCTATGCTTGGGTTCATTTTTCTTTGCATAATCTAAGGAATCATAAATCATGACAAAGCACGTTGTCCTACCACCACCAAAGTGGTTTCTGAATCCAGACACAAAGATGGCACCTGGTGTGGTCTTGTACATTTTGGCCAGTTTTCCCCATATTTCTGTCTTATGTACTGTTGTGTCCCTAGGGTGCAGGATGTGGATGACCATTTGTTTCTGCTGCAATAGTCTGTTGGTCATGAACTTTCTGTCAGGATAGTTAGTGTGTTGTTTATGATAATGGCCTATCTTTAAGCAGTCAAGAAGAAAAAGAGAGGGATTGTTCTCTTAATTTCTCTTTCTATAGTTCATTATTGGTGAATAAAAATACAACTGATATCTGGATATTAATTTCTTATCCTGCTGCTTGACTGAGTTCATCGATCAGTTCTTGTAGTTTTTTGGTGGAATCTTTAGTGTTCTCTATGTACATAATCATGTCATCTGCAAATAATGAGTTTTACTTTTTCCTTTCCAATTTGAATGCCTTTTATTTATTCTCCTTGTCTGATTGATGTGTCTAGGACTTTTTCTACTATGTTGAGTAAAAGTGGTGAAAGTGGCCCTAGCTGGTTTCGCTCAGTGGTGAGAGAGCATTGGCCCATGGACTGAAGGGTCCTGGGTTCGATTCCAGTCAAGGGCATGGCCGTACCTCAGTTGCAGGCTCGATCCCCGACCCCAGTCGGGGCACATGTAGGAGACAACCAATTGATATGTGTCTCTCACATTGTTGTTTCTCTCTCTCTCCCTTCCCCTTCTACTCTCTCTGAAAAGGGAATGGAAAAAATATCCTCAGGTGAGGATTAAAAGAAAAACAACTGGTAAAAGTGAACAATCTTCTTTTTCCCTATCTTAAGGAAAATCCTTTTAGCTTTCATCATTGAGTATGATGCTGGCTGTGGGTTTGTCACATATGGCCTTTATTATGTTGAGGTATGTTCCCTCTATTCCTACTTTGCTAAGAGTTTTTGTCATAAATGGTGCTAGATTTTGTCAAGTGCTTTTTCTGCATCTATTGGTGTGATTGTATGGTTATTATCCTTCATTTTATGTATGTGTGTATTATGCTAACTGATTTGCAGATATTAAACCAACCTTGCCTCCCAGGAATAGATCCAAATTGATCATAATATATAATCTTTTTAATGTATTTCTGAATTCAGTTTGCTAATTTTTTTATTTTTAGGAGTTTTGCATCTCTGTTCATCAGGGATATTGGCCTATATATATATATTTTGAAGTGCCTTTGTCTGGCTTTAGATTAGGGTAAAATGATCTTGGGAGCCTTCCTTCCTCTTCAATTTTTTGGAATAGTTTGATAAAGATAGGTGTCAGTTCTTCTTGGAATTATTTGGTAAAATTCCCCTGTGAAGCCATCTGGTCCAGGACTTTTATTTGTCAGGAGGTTGTTGTTTTTATTATTACTGATTCAATTTCATATGTTCTTGAGTATTCTAGTTATATTCTTGTTATTGTTCTGTTCAGATTTTCTGTTACTTCTTTATTCAGTCTTGGCAGATTGCATGTTTTTAGGAATTCATCTATTTCTTCTTGATTGTACAATTTGTTGGCATATAATTGTTTGTAGAATTTTTCTATAATTTTTTGTATTACTGTGGTGTCAGTTGTCACTACTCCTCTTTCATTTCTGATTTTGTTTATTTGGGTTTTTTCTCTGTTTTTCTTGATGAGCCTGGTTAAATAATTATCAGTCTTGTTTATCTTTTTAAAAAGTCAGCTCTTGGTTTCATTGATCTTTTGTATTGTTCTTTAGACTCTGTTTTCTTTATTTCTAATCTGATCTTTATTCTTTCTTTTCATCTACTCACTTTGGCTTTGTTTGTTGTTATTTTTCTAGTTTTTTTAGGTTTAAGGTTAGATTGTTTTTTTGAGATGTTTCTTGTTTCTTGAGGTAGACCTGTGTTGCTATGAATCTCCCTCTTAGAACTGCTTTGGCTGTGTCCCATAAATTTTGGGTTATTTTGTTTTCATTGTCATTTGTTTCAATGTATTTTTTGGTTTCTTCCGTGATCTCATTGTTAACACATTCATTGTTTAGTAGTATGCTATTTGGCCTCAATATTGTGTGTTTTTCAGTTTTCTTTTGTTATTGATTTCTAGTTTCATATCATTGTGAATGGAGAAAACGCTTGATCTGATTTCAGTCTTCCCAAATTTGTTGAGACATGTTTTGTGACCTAATGTGTGGTCTAGTCTAGAAAATGTTCTACTTGCACTTGAAAAAGAATGTATATTCTGCTGCTTTGGTATGGAATGTTCCAATAATGTCAATTAAATCCACCTGGTCTAATGTGTTATTTAAGGCCACTCTTTCCTTGTTGATTTTCTGAATGGACAGCCTATCCATAGACATCAATGGGGTGTTAAAGTCCCCTGCCATTACTGTATTACTGTGGATCTCTCTCTTTATGTAATTATATGTTTAAGCAAATTATGGTATGTCCACAGAATGGAATATTAGGTAGCCATTAAAATGATGTTTGCAAGCATAGGAAAATAGTTTTAATGCTCCTTAATAGTAAAAGAAAAATATGTGTGATGCTCACTAGAAAAATCATGGTAATAATCTGTACAGACTAGTTATCAGTGAGAAAAATAAACATAAAAACAACCATAGAATATACCAAAATATTAATTACAGTTGCTTCTCAGCAGAGTGATTTTCCTGCTACTTTATACTTTTCCTGTACCAAAAGTTTTCTTTATTAAGCACATATTTAATGTTTCAACTAAACTTTTATGCAAAAGGAAATAGTTGAACAAGACAAGAAATGGAAATTGGAAGGTAGGGAGAAATAGAACTGCCACCTGCCTACCTGACATGACTTAGATATCATTACCCCTGAAAGGCTAAGATGTAGGAGGACTTCTTGCCTATGGCAATTCCTTTAAGATGCATGGCTGGTCATTCTTTGCTTACCCATGAAAGCACCTGTAATAGCTTCTGCCTAAGGGAGTGACAAAGAACCCACACTCTGGTATGGCAATTTCTAATCTTAGCTGACTCTGTGACCTTGGACAGGCCAGTCTACTTTTTCCCTGGTTACCCACCTTTCTGAAAGAAATTTTCCAAAGACCTTTCTAGGAAACATGATAAGCAGGAGGATTCTAGTCATAGGGAAAATGGATGTTCTTTTTCAACATAAAGACAAGCTTATCTCAACACCCTACTTTTCCTCTAACCTTCGTTCTCTTCCAATCCTGCTAGCAACTAATATTTGTTTTATCTCTTCCAGGAAATGATCGAAACAGCCTAGATTTCAACAGGCAGGTAAGGACTTTCAGAACAAAACCTTTATTCAATAAATTTTGGGGGTCACTTGTACTATGTCAGATGTGGGAGAAACAAAAAAAATTAAGTAAAGTTTGAGATGCTTGTTCAGAACCCTACACTTGAGGATTAGAACGGATCTCTAAAGGGCTTTTGCCTCCAACTCCTTTCCAACCCACAACCAATGTCTGGATCTCTTCCCCCCACCCCGAAGAATACTGACTAACGTAGCACCTGTTTAGCATGGGCTGCGTGCCAGGTGAGGCCCAGAATCTAAGACAGCAGCTCTTTTCCTGTCAAGGCTGGACCCGAGTTGCCTCTTGGATGAGTCTGTTCACATGGTCCGCCTGTGTGTGGAGGAATTTATGGAGGTACAAAGTATGGAGTACCTGCATTTCTCATGGAACTCCTGATTCACAGGAAGTAGACAGCAGACAAAAAAGGGGAAACAAAGAACAGAAAGAGCTCAGAAAGGGGTGAGTGACCAAGCCCAGTGGGACAATGTGGGCACAAGCTTGGTGCCTTGAAGGAAATCAAGTTGGGAGTGGGAGTTGATCAGGGAGGGCTTCGGGCCGGGTAAGGTGGTGCTGGATGGGCCGCAGGATGGTTGGATGTGGGTGTGTGAAAAGAGGGTGAAGCAGAAACAAGATTTTCCTCTTAGGCTTCGAGGCAGATGGGAAGCATGGGGCAGGGCGGAGACAGGGTGTGACGTCAGAAGCAGGAGGTATGAGAGTTTGCTGAGAGGAGGAAGTCTATGCTGGACACAAGCAGGGACCAGTAATGGAGGGTCCTACAGAGTTGGAGAGGCGAGACTTAGGTACAGAATCAGGAGCCTGGATTTTGGTTCTGTTTCTGCTATTAGTCAGCTGTATAACCTTGGTCAAGTCACTTAACATTATTGGTCTGAATTTTCTCAGCTGAAGAATTAATTTATTTCATAAATTTGGGGTGGGGGTGGGGGAAACGTGCTATGTCAGGTGTGGGAATACAAAGAAAACTAAGAGTGGTCTCTGCCCTGGAGGAGTTCATAGTCTATCATAAAGTATGGGGAGGAAAGAGAGGGAAAGGGGAAGGGCGGGGAGAGAGAGGCTCTCACGGTGTAGTCTCAGTCATGCTTACTGCAGGTATATGAAAGCATGGTGTCAACAGAAATGGGAATAGTTAATTTTCCTGGGGCCTCAGGGCAGGCTTCATGGAGAAGCTAATATTTGTATCTAGCTCTAAAGGGTGAGTAGGGCAGGCTTCATGGAGAAGCTAATATTTGTATCTAGCTCTAAAGGGTGAGTAGGAGTTCGTTAGGTAGAGAAAAGTAGACTGGAGAGGGAGATGATCCCAGTGGGGTGCTGATTGGATAACCACTAGTTTCTTGCCACTCTGACCATCTGAGTTCAGGTTTAGACAGAAGTCTGGGGTGGAGCTGGAGGTGAAACTCAGACCTATGTTTTCCCCTTTATCTGCAGAGTGATTTGATGTCATTACTAACATTTTTTAAAAGACTTTTAATTCTGGGTACATCTTTCACAGTCAGAGAAAGGAATAAATGAGTCCTGAGCCAAAACCTCTCATGCAGGCAACTTCTGCAATTTTGTTCCTTGGGGAAGTTCGCTAACAAGTGGAAGCCAAGGGCTCTCCCTCCTCCCTGGAGACCTAGCCCAGAGATAGGCTGCCGTGCAAGAGTCACCAAGGTGGGCTGTGAGGAAGCGCTTGCAGAGAATGTGATTTATTAAGCATTGGAACAGCTATCAGCGAGGGAGGCCATAGAGCCAGCTTCTCACTCATGGTCTTAAAATACAAGACAGATTCTTATCTAAGGGGTAGTTTGGGCCGGGTTTGCTTCATGGGCAGGAAGTTGGAGGCGATTCCCAAGGATTCTGGGATCCTGGATGAGAGTCCTAAGCAGGTTGGGTTGTGGCCTATACCCTGTGCTTTCTCTCCTGAGGACAAAGGATCGCAGCCCCAGGCCCTTGGATGAGATGCACAGGGAGGAGCTCATCCCACACCAAGATATGGCTCCACCAACCCAGCCCAGAGGTGGTTCACTTCACAGGCCCAGTGGGTCTGGCTGCCAGTGCAATCTCTCTAAATCTTGAGAAACCTCCGTGCTTAAGACAGGGCTGGGGGCAGCCCCTATGGCCTGGGGTGGCCAACAGAGAGGTCCCTGACCCTTTGAATGTCTTTTGGGGTGTGGTTTCTCCACCAGTTGGGAGAAAGTTTCCTGGCTTCTGCCAGGATTGGGCCTCCCTTGAGTTTACTTCCCTCCCTCTCCTGGGAAGGGTTTTTGGATTTCTTGTTACCAACAAGAACAGACATGACAGACTTTCTTTAAAGAGAGGGGAATTTTGGAGGAACAGAGGCTCAGCCGAGCCGCACATATTCATACACTTAGAATGGAGCTCTTCTCTGTTCATAACCACACACATCCACGCCCTCCCTGAGGTTCCTCCTGGCTCCCTCTCACCTCATCCCTCAAATGCCATCAGACACTGACACCCACACGCTCACATTCGTACCAGCTCACCTGTGGGCCTACAGGCAGGCGCCCAGGATTTCTCAGGCCACTGCACCGACAAAACCAACATTTTGCTGAGTACCAGGCTCTGTGCAGGGTGCTTTGGGTACTTTATCTCATTAATTCTCACTATAAACCAAGTGTTACTACCCCCATTATACATGAAAGGAAACTTCTTCCCAGGTAGCCACCTTTTTTGGTGAAAAATTTGAGAGGTAAGTAATTTGCTGAAAGTCAGAATTGGCCAGTTGGCAGAGTCAGAGATAGACCCACATCTCTTTGACTCTAGAGCCCGTTTCCCCACGATGCCTTGCTCGACCTTCCTCTGCAGCCTCTGAGCTCTCCTCTCCCTGTACATTCGCTCCGTCTTTAGGGAGAGGCCTGGGAGCCAGAGGCTGAGCATGACCTCACAGTGACTAACTGGGAGGAAATGGGAGGTGGAGGGAGTGGGGAGAAGAAGAAAGAGAGGTTGTGTAGGAGCAGCCTGTGTGTGTAACACAGACACTGGAAGCAAAGGATGAGCCACTGCCTTGGTGAAGCTCCGGCTGGAGGGCCCCAAGCTGCCTGGTGCACGGAGCTGAGCCCGGTGCTGGGCAGACCGCAGTGCGGACGCTGTGTGAGAGGGGAGGCTGGCGCGTCAGGCCGCTCTGTGCCGAGGCTGCTAACTCCCCGAGCCCGCGTGGGGATGAGGGGGGGATCCACAGGCAGGGCTACCCTTCCGGCTGCAGGAGGGATAAGCAAAGCTGAGATGCAGCAGAGTACGACCAGATCCCGGATGGAAGTCAGGAGTCCTGGGTGCCAGTGCTCTTTCTGCCCCTTGCTAGTTGCTGCCTTTGTCTTTCTGTGCCTCAGTTTCCTCAAGAATAAAATGAAGAAGTTTGTGTGCGATGACCTCTGGGCCCCAGCAGTCTGTGTGTTACGGTCCCATCATTTTTCTTGTGCTACATTCCACTGGTTAGTTTGACTCCCACTCTCCTTTCTTTTCTTTTTTTAAGAGAAATGAGGAAGAGAGTGTCTGCTTCTTTACCCCAAGATGGAGGGTGAAGGGAAGTATGTAATATGGAATCTTTTCAGCACTTACGCTCCTGTGTGATCTAGTGAAAAGAAACATTTGAAATTTAGGGACAAAGACAGGAGGACCTAGCAGGCTGGATCTGGGGCCAACCACTCATTCTTCGAATGTCAAGTTTCTCCCAAGCTCTAGGTCGAGGGAGCCATTTATAAGAAGATGCACTGCAGCAGGAGGCAGTGAATTCTGTGGGAGACGTAAGAGTGCTGAGCTCTGTGATGCTGCCTGAGGATATCACTGAAGAGATGGCATCTGAAGTGGGTGACAACAGGGAAGTAGGGGGTGACTGGCAGAGAGGGACAACGAGAATGTTTCTGGCACAGGAGGCTCACTGTTGCAAAGGGCTTGGCTTCAGGGAACCGTGAGAAGATCTGCATGGGGAAGATGAGGCTGGAGCTGCGGGTCGGACCAGATTATGAAGAACCAGCAAAGAATTTTATCTTGTGATCAGGAGGGAGCATTTTCAAGCATGGCTGGTTTCATTCAGTGGAAGCGCCTTAGAAGGGGGTGTGAGTGAGGAAGGAGGGAAGGGTGAATGAGAGACGGATGCAAGAGAGGCCTGATAGAGTGCCGCTGCAGCAAGCAGGCCGTGCTGAGGAGAGAGGTCATAGCAAAGAGGTTAAGCACGTGAGCATAGGGCCAGGCTGCCCGGGTTTGAATTCTGTGTTTGCCATACCTGCCTGTGTGACCTTGGGCAAGCCCTTCAACTTCTGTGCCCTGTTCTCCTCATCTGTAAAATGGGAGCGTGATGATGTCTCTCTCACAGGACTTTGTGAGGGCCAAGTGAGTGAGCGAGTGTGAGTGCGTGTGTACCTCTCAGACAGGTGTCTAGAACTTGTACAGGGAGAGACAAAAGTAGGTTTACAGTCATGAGTACACGAAACAGCTTATTCTATTATTACTTATTAATGTATTCTTTTCCATATGAACAACTGTGAACCTATTTTTCCCACCCTGTGTACTGTGTAGGCACTTGCTGTTATTTCTGCTTTGCCAGTAGGCATGGAGGGACTCGGATTTGAGAGCTATTTCTGGTATAAGATCAGTAGGATTTTGGTTGGACAGGGTCAGCAAAGGAAAGAAAGGTCCAGCAGGATTCTTAAATTCCTAGCTGAGCTGCTGAGCTTTAGTGGTGCTGCATCCAGAGATCAAGAGGTGGAGCCAAGTTGTCCAGATGACTGAAGGGGTAAGAAGGGCAGGTAATGGGCTGTAGGTGCCTAATACCTGGTGAGAAATTAAGAGCTTGAGCCTGGAGATAGGTCAGGATGCAGGGCTGGGAGTCACCGTTGAACCGTGTTAACTGAAAGATGGGAGGAAGCGAGGTCCCCTAGGGCAGGTGTGCAGAATGGGAGGGCCAGGGAAGACCTGGGGAGAAAGGACACATGAGGAACAGGCTGCGAGTGGGTGCCTGCAGAGGAGGCT